CCGAGCTGAGCAGCCGCTGAGCTGCCAACAGGTAGCAGGATGGCTCAGCTAAAAAAAAAAAAAAAAATGTGCCTGAACTTCAGGTTTAACCTCTTTTTCTAAAGTCCTACTCTTCTTAAGGTAGAAATGTTTTAAAAATAGGAGAAAAGTATGCATGAAGAGGGAGGAGCCCAAGAGCCCCAAATAAGCACTTACTATATTTTAAATTACAGATATGTTAGTGATGTGGTGTGATTGGCTACTGCTTTTATTGCCAGGAGTGAAGAGACCTGGAGCCTAGAACTGTGTGTTTGGAGGTCACTGCCTACATAATTCCGAGAGTAGTGACCTTTACATACAATACAATGGTAATAGTCTCCAAGTTGTACAAAAAGCTGCAGCCCAACTGGTTCATTGAGTTTCTCAGCAATAATTACGGGTTAGCCAAAGAACCTAAATGTTTACTTAATATAAGACTAAATTAAAAAACAATTTCATTCAGTAGGGTATGAATACCCTTATACTTGGGGAAGTACATCACTGTTTATTAACTAAGCGATACTTTTGGCAGTAGAGGAATTCAAAAGCTTTTGGAATGGTTCTAGGATGAGAATTTAGAGAACTTGGTCTGGAAGGCATTAAAATGTTAAGGTGTGCCCTGAAATCAGGATATGGGTAATTGCTTTGAGATGATAATATGAGGTAATTTCCTAGAAATTAATGGTAAGGGAGGAGAAAATAAGACTGGGCTATTCCAGGAGCAGTCTACTAAACAGTGTTGAATTAGAACCAACTTGTCCTTTGACTTAATTTTACAGGAGTCTTACACATATAAAGACCCAATTACAGAGTTCGTTGAATGCTTGTATGTTAACTTTGACTTTGATGGAGCTCAGAAAAAGCTGAGGGAATGTGAATCTGTAAGTATGATTTTTTACTTATAAATTAATAACTTAAGTTTTTGTATATTGTAAGAGTTAACTTTGCAGTGTTTTATTAAAGTAATGATATCAGAAATGTATATTAATCTTGAAGTGGCATATTGTTTAGAAATGTGCAAGGGTGAAGCCATTTTTAATGTTGCCATGTGTGTATCCCTTTTATTAGGACAGTTTGTTAAAGCATTGGGAGTATTATAAATTCATACATCCACGTCTTATCCTGAATAAGTATTTATGTGAAATATTTGATATGTATGGGCAAGTTTGTTTGGAATTGTATATCACAGCTGTGCTTCTCAATTTGTTCTATAAGTGGGCCTGTTTTTAGAATTTTTCACATGAGTATATTTAACATTTGCTAAAAGTGTAGTTTTTATAACTGCAATGTCTTCTGTTGGTTGGTAGTAACTCAAGTATCTTCAGAGCAACTGAAAGAGTTAGATTTACAACTTTTGGAATAAGTCTTTAAGTTTTAAGAAATTAAACTAAGACTTTACCTGTTAAATTTATTTACCAAATCCACAAGTTACTAGTTGTCAATTTCTTTTTTTTTTTTAAATTGGGGAATTGGGGGAGGGGAACAGGCAAGTTGCTGTCCTTTGGTTTTTCAGTCTAGTTGTGGAGGACGTTACTTCCTGGCCCATGTTGGTATTATCATTGCGCTCTTCCCGAATGAGGCAGATCGGTCACGGCCTCTGGAGGGCCGCTCATGGCAGCTCACGCCAGCTGCCGGCTGCTCACGCTGGTTGCTGGCCACACACAGTAGCTCATGGCAGCCCACTGCAGCAGGGGCTACAGCCTACGCCTTCGCCGGCGACTCTCGGCAGCCCAGCTCCAAGTCGAGATGTTGTTTACCATCTTAGCTGTAGAGGACAATGTCACTGGCCCTCATGTGGGATCCGAACCAGGGCTCTGATGCTCAGAGCTGGCGTCCCAAGCCAGCTCTTAACCAACGCACCACTCGGCCGGCCTGTCAATTTCTTCTTTGAGCCCAAGTGTTAGCACAAAAATGGGCCAAGTTTGTTGAAGGACCAAGGTCTTATCTCTTTAAGAAAAAATTATCATGTAAATATACCTTCAGAGTTGATTGTCAAACATTGGACAAAGTGCAAAATTAGAATCCAGTGTGATATGTGTTCATGGAGTCATTATCAATATTATTAACATGCCATATGGCATTATTAAATATTGGTGTACGTTTGTTATGCTAAGAAGACCTTGCTAAGACAGGGCACTTGGTTGCTATTCTTAAAATGCTTTCTTTTAATTGTGATATTATTTGTGGAATAGGAGTCACTTGAATTTTTTTCCTTTGTAGATTTACAAGTCTACTTACTATCACAGAAATATGCATACCTTTAGTGCATTCATAATCATTCTAAATAGCTGGAAATGATAGGCTATTTATAGAGCATTTATGTAGGATAATGGACTGGACAAAGCTGTTTTGTCACAAAGTTGCTCACGTCATCAGTGGAACAAGAAAACATTGCAGTTATTAGGTCTTGCTCACGTCATCAGTGGAACAAGAAAACATTGCAGTTATTAGGTCTTTTTGTAGCATTTGTTACTTGTTTAAGTTATTAGAGGCATGAACATGGTGTTATAGAAAATGCTATGGTGTAGAAAGCATGTGATATTAGACGGGAAAAGTCTAGTGAATGGAACAAATAGCAAGGCAACAGAAAATTTTTTAGTTAAATTTTTGAAAATTGCTTGTCAGTGCCATTTAATTATTTTTCTTCTATATTTTATATACATAGGTGCTTGTGAATGACTTCTTCTTGGTGGCTTGTCTTGAGGATTTCATTGAAAATGCCCGACTCTTTATATTTGAGACTTTTTGTCGCATCCACCAGTGTATCAGCATTAAGTAAGAACATCCTAATTTGATTTGTATTTTCTACTTTTAAATTCTTGGAGATTTCCATTTACTGTAAAGTTGCACTTAATAGGATTCCAGTTAATTGGATTTTATTTCCCTTTGCTTTAGAAGAAAAAGGAAATGGTCTGATAGAGATTTATTAAAAACCCTAACATGTTTGAATTCTGGGCTGCTATAGATGCAAAAATATCTTCTTTAGCTTTCATGTGTGGTACAGCATGATTTTTGAAAATGATAACTTCAAGGCAATATTATGATTGTCAGTTACTTTTTTAAAAGAGTACTATTATACCATTATGTAGGAAGAAAAGAGAAATATCCAGTTTTAGAATGGTTTTCAACAGGAGTTCAAATAAGGATTTAGCCCTTAGTAAGTCGGAAATACTGTTGAAAGACTACATTTGGTAATCATTTCAGTTAATTGAGTTTGTTTTATTTGATTATATATTTGAATTCTCATATAGTAAACTCCTATAAAATCATAAAATGTTGAAACATTGAAAAATTATGGTGAATTTTAGTTGAAATTTTCTCTGTTGTGTGAGAAAAGTATTGGGGAAAAATGTGAAACTTACATAACCTATTAGAAACTAATTTTATATATTAGAACTTGAAAAATAACCAATCTTTTTGACCATAGATGAAGTCAAACAGTAAATCCTCCCTAAATATTTTAAAACTTACTACTTTAATGTTTGCCTCTTAGGAATTGGGTGTAGACCAAAGTTTTTCTTTAGTGCCATTTGTTTTTGCTAAAGCATCCATCCATACTTGCTTGCCTAATTTTGGTGGGTTGTCATTGAAGTGGTTATTCAGAGCTAGAAGTATAGTGTGACCATGGGGCTTTTCCTAGGAATTGAAGCCTTGACTTCAGTTTTATTAGCACTTTACTATAGCTAGCAGACCTATGATTTTAAAAATCTGATTGATTCTCTTAAAGAATACATGCAGATTCCCAATATGTTTTTGGTTGTGAAATAAAGATACATGCGTATCATATGTGGGACTCTGGTGGACAATAAGTAGATAACTGAATTCTAGCATTGCCTTTTTTTATTTTATTTATTTATTTTTAAGATATATAAATCGAGCTTTTGAAAGAGAGATGACAATATTTGGTTTCCCTTGTGGAATTTTCCCTATTTCTAGTTAGAATCTGGTCACTTGGTTATTTTATTTTATTTAGGTTTTTTTGGAAAGCTGATTCTTTTATATTTTTAGCACCTAATAATACTAACTTTATACAGTGTAAATGCTCAATAAATATTTGTTAAATGAATACATTTCTTTCCTTTATATTAGTGAGTTTATATTTTTGTCTATGATAATGCTGTCACTTTGGTATTGGCTTCTGAGGTACCATGAATAAGAAGGTTTGTTCTGGTTCTAGCTCTTCCTCTTTGGGACCTTGTATTCTTTATTTTGCTTCTTCAAATTCAGTTAACTATCCTTACCAGTAAAATAGATAAAGTATTTGTCCCGTCTACTCAAGAGAGATGTGCAGTTCAAATAAGATAATGTAGCAAGACTGCTTTATAAACTTATGTGACATTATCATTACCTAAGAATTTTTTTAACTTATATCAGTGTAGTTTTTACTTTTTTAAATTTATTTTTTAGTGACAGTTGACATGTAATAATATATTAGTTTCAGGTGTACAACGTAATGATTAGACATTTATATACCTTGCAAAGTGATCACCCTGCTAAGTCTAGTACCCATCTGACGCCATACATAGTTATTACAAAATTACTGACTGTATTTTTTATGCTGTACTTTACATCCCTGTGACTGTTTTATAATTGTCAATTTGTACTTCTTAATCTCTTCACCTTTTTTACCCATCCTGCTATCCCCCTCCTATCTGATGACCACCAGTTTGTTCTTTATATCTTGAGTTTGTTTTGTTTCTTTCTTTGTTCTTTAGATTCCACATAAAAGTGAAATTATATGGTATTTGTCTTTCTCTGTCTAACTTATTTCCGTTAGCATAATACCCTCTAGTCTATCCATGTCACAGATAGTAAGATTTTATTCTTTTTTATGACTAATATTCCATTGTATATATGTACGACACCTTTTCTATCCATCTCTCAATGGACGCTTAGGTTGCTTCCATATTTGGGCTTTGTAAATAATGCTGCAATTAACACAGAGGAGCATGTATCTTTTTGAATTTGTGTTTTGGATTTCTTCAGATAAATATCCAGAAATGGAATTGCTGGGTCATAGGTAGTTCTATTTTTAATTTTTTCAGGAACTTCCATCATGTTTTCAATAGTGACTGCACCAATTTACAGTCCCACCAACCGTGCACTGGGGATCCCTTTTCTCCATATATTCAACAGCACTTAGTGTTTGTTGATTTATTGATGATAGCCATTCGGACAGGTGTGAGGTGATATTGTGGTTTTAATTTTCATTTCCCTGATGATTAGTGATGTTGAGCATTTTTTCAAATGTCTGTTGGCCATCTGAATGTTATCTTTGGAGAAATGTCTATTTAGGTCCTCTGCCCATTTTTTAATTGGATTTTTTGTTTTTTTTTATGTTAAGTTGTGTGAGTTCCTTATATATTTTGGATATTAACCCCTTATTGGATGTATCATTGGCAAATATCTTCTCCCATTCAGTAGGTTGTCTTTTCTAAGGTCCAGAAATCTTTTCTCTCTTCCAGTGATAGTATTTTCTTTTTACTTAGGTTGTTGAACATTTTTGGTTACCCATGAAATGGTTTACTAACTGAGATGATTTCAGATACATAGGTTAATGCATTTTCTTCAAATATTAGGGATGAATTTTAGAGCTAAAAGAAATCATAAGGAGCTTCTCATCCAACAAGACACAGTTATTGAATCATTGACAATAGGACTTTCCAGTAGAACTTTCTTCAGTGATGGGAATGTTTTATATTTACATTGTTCAGTATGGTATCCAATAGCTGTATGTGGCTTTTGTGCACTTTAAATGTAACTTAGGTCTCAAGTTATAGAACTAGGGTTTTTAAATCGTGTGTATGTGTATGTGTGTGTGTGTGTGTGTTTGTGTGTGAGACTTTTTAAATGCAATATTTTATAAACATTTTCTCTTGTAAGAATACAGTACATGATACATATAACAAAATATGTGTTAACTGTTTACGTTAATTGATAAGGCTTTGGTCAACAGTAGACTAGTGGTAGTTCAGTTTTGGGGGAATCAAAAGTTATATGCAGATTTTCGTTTGTGTGGGGCAGGTTGGCACCCCTAACCTCCGCATTGTTAAAGGGTCAACTCTATATGGGAGAGCTGATCAAATCAGAGCCCCATCACCCCATTTAGCCTGTACCTTTATTTAGCTTCCCTCCTAGCTATTAAGGCACCACTATGTAACCCTAAGATTTCTGGAAGCACAGCACAGTGATTCAGTTCAACTCCTTTGTTTTATACAATAGTTTCTTGTTTGTAACTGGGAAACTCTAGGCTCAGACGTTAAGCTGGTGAAGTCCCATTTAATAACAGCTTGGACTAACAGGTCTCTGACATTCATTGTATTATACCTCACTATAAGTACTTTAGTTTTCATTGTGACAATTGATACTTTTAGAAATAACAGATTTAGACCAATATATCATTAGTGTATCACTTGAGCCAGAGGATAAAAATGGAAACCATAAGTCAGTTTAACTGTGTCTCAGAATCTTTGTAGAATTTTGTTTTGTTTTATTTTACAACAACAGAGTCCCTGAAGCCACCCCAAACTTTCTGGATCAGATTTTCTGAGTATGCTATGGGATGATGTGTAATAGGGCCACTATGCTGTGTCTTAAGGGTGGTTATTCCAAAGCACATCCAGGATTGAGAACCATTGCACCAGGCTGCCAATTTTTTAGGCACGTAATTAAAGCCTGCTACAGTAATGGAGTGAAAAATCAGTGATTTAATATCTTTAGTATATAACTAGTATATATAGTATAGGCACAGAGAAGAAAGTGTAATTTCATGTGGGAAAAAAAGAAATATTCTTAGAGCAATGAGATCTCAGGTTGTAAGGTTCAAGAAGGTGTAAGGGAGCATTCAGTAGGACTCAGTCTAAGGGGTAGGCATCTTTGTTTCAGTGGGTTAGGAATATGGCTGAAAACAATGCTAAGCATATCATTTGGGCTTTTATAAGGACGGTAAACGTCTTCATTCAGACTCCAAGATAATGATCAACAGAACTAATGCTTACCTTTAAACAGTACGTAGAAAAATCATTGTTCTCTAATCCAGAGGTTTTTAAACCTATCTGTATATCAAAATCATCTGAAAAACTAAAAAAAAAAAAAAAAAAAAAAGAATAGATTTCTAGCTTTACCTAGACCTTCTGAATCAGAATAACTGGAATCAAAGCTTGAGAATCTGGGTTGAAATCTTCCCAGGTGCTTCTTCTGCAATCAGCATTGGGGAATAATTGCCAAACCTTTTTTTTTTTTTTTTTTACTTTTTATTTTGAGATGATTATAGATTCACAAGCAGTTGTAGAAATAATAGAGAGATATCCTTTATTTACTCACGTTCCTTAGTGGTACCTCTTGCAAACCAGTATCACAACCTGATACTGACATTTATCCATTCACATACTCAACATTCCTGTCTCCAAAGAAACCCTTAAGTTGCTCCTCTACAGCCATAGCCCACCACCTCCCTCACCTGTCCTTCATCCCCGGCAACCACTTATCTGTTCTCCATTTTTTATAATTTTTGTCATTTTAAGAATGTGCACAAACTTTTTTTTTTAAGGTAGTGTTCAGCTTTCTAAAGAAGGATAAATACACTATGTCATGATTGTGATATAATTAATAGCAGCATAACTAGTATAGTTCAATGAAGAAAATATTACAAATGTGAATGCACAACTCTTCTGGTCAGGCACTCTGTCGAAAGTAGGGAGCACACCCTCAGCTTAAAATCCAGAAGAAGAAATAGATAATAAATAAAGTTACAAGTTATGATAGATGTTTTAAAG